TTCTAATTCCGATCCCAGGACATGATCCGTTACACCAACCGAAAACATATTGATATGGGATTTACGAGCGCTTATTGCAGCTTCCGTAACATTATCCTGACTACGACCATCAGTAATGACGATGCTTACACGTGCGACATCATCACCTTGCTTACGAGCGCCACGTCGTTCCGAGAAACCTTCCATTACCATATGCTGAATTGCAGCACCAGTTCTAAAAATGTGAAATTTTCAAATAAAAAAAATAAATAAAATAAAATGTAGTATTAGATAAAGTAAATGAACAATATTTCCTCATTAAATTTAAATATTTTAGTTGAAATAAAAGAAATAACAAATCTTAAAATCATTTCACTAACCTTGTAAGACCTGTTAAATATTGAACTTGTGATATCGCGTTGATAACGGATTCTTTATCAGTATATTGGCTTAAATCAAACTCATGCCTAATTTGATCCGAATATTGTATTAAACCAACACGTGTATTATCCAAACCAATATCAAATAGTTCCACAAATTCTTTGATAAATCGTAATACCTATTAAATATTTCATTATATAATTTAATTAGTGCTAAATCTGATCTTTCACTTGTTCTTTTAAAAAAATTAATCCTTTGGTAATATATTTTTGGTGAAATGAAAAGGAAAATTTGTTGATAATTACATATAATTAGGCTATGTTTAAAAAATAGAAAAGATCAAACTTTTAATTGAATTTTTAAAAATTCTATGCATATCAAAATTAGCTTTCTTTCAAAAAAGAAAAAAAATAAATAAATAAACGATATGAGCTGATTTCAAGCAATTTTAAATGCATGTTTTTTTTTTTTTAAATCAAATTTTAAAATTATTTTTACTTCATTTTTAAAAACATAAGAGCCAATTGATCCGGAACCATCAATTAGGAACATAAGATCAGTTTTTTGCTTTGGGCAAGTTGTTTGTACCGTACATACTCGACCAGGTTGTAAATTAGCACTAGATGAAACATCCACAAATCCTGCATAGCATTGACAAGTATAGGAATCCGGTGTATCAATGCAATCAGCATTTTCATCACAAGTATTCAGGGTTCGATCAAGACATTCATTACTGGCTGAAAAGAAAATAATATATTAAATTAAGGGTGAAAAGAAAAAGCCGATAAAAATCATTTATACAGTTGCCATATATTGGTTATCATATTCAGAACTTTTGAAATTTCAGTACTTAAATTATAATAAAAACATTATATATTCATGTAATACATTACTTTTCTTTAAATTAATAATATACCGATAAATAAAGAAATCCCGGATATACTTTTCTTTAAATTAATAATATACCGATAGATAAAGAAATCCCGGATATACTTTTCTTTAAATTAATAATATACCGATAGATAAAGAAATCCCGGATACGGATATCTTCCAGAATTTATCTTTTAGGATTAATTAATTACAGATAGTATTATTTTCTAAAAATATTTTCCATAAAAAATCTAACCATTACTACAACGACGTCCAGGTGCAAGTTG